CTCACTGGGCGCAAATACAGTATTGTGCACCGTCAAAGCGGCAGAGGGTTGAACACACACGCGCAGATCGAGCAGCGACACAGTCCTGCCTCTGGGCTCTGAATCTGAACATATGGGGCTCGTGTTTCTTTCTTCTTTCCCCTGCTCATCACAGGCTCACAGCTGAAGAAGTAGCATCGAGATCTCTGCACCTCCATTTCTTATAAATATAGGAGTAACTGGTTAATTACTCACTTTACAACTGTTTAGCAACAGTAATTCTAGCTGAGCTAGTGTTCCAGGCTTCCAGCAATCTTGATCTGTTGTCTGTTACTAACATTAGTGTTACTGAACTACTGATGCGTTTTAGGTTGTTACTGTAGCTTTGTTACTCAGCTCCAATGCTTCGGTCTTTCAGATACTGTAGTACTAGTACCGTGTGTACTCTCTGCATGTCCTGGGTTACAGCATTTTGATGCCAGCCAGATGCTCTCTTGAACTTCTGCTGCCACTACAGCAATACTACACTACGGTTTCAGTACAGTGTACAGTACACCAATACAGTACATGAAAAAAAATTCTGAAAAAAAATATTCCTGAAAAGAGAGAGAGAAATGGAGGGAGGAGGAACAGGGGGGGCCCACCGGGGTAGTATTCTGCTGGTGGTGGTGGTGGTGGCTCCGGCGAGGTCCCCATCCATTTGACTTGTGTAAAGCAAAAGCTAGTACTACTCTCCGGCCGGCGAGACACAAAGAGAGAGAAGGTGAAGGGAACAGATGCAGCATGGAAAGAAGAGATTCCCCCTACGAGGAGGAGATGAGATGAGAATGAGATGAGCTACTGGCTACTATAGCTTCGCTCGATGCGATCGCACGCACACAGCGCAAGACGTGGCCGTGGCCGTGGCCGTGCCTCCTTTGTTGCGTTGCGTCGTGGTCGCTTCTGCCTGGCCAAGGTCAGCCGCTCACCCACTCCCAGCCACAGGTTTGCAATGTATATTGCTGCTCGGTTACCTCACGGTTATCGCAGTAACCTCACATGTAAACTTTTCGGAAGGCGTTTGGTTCTGCAAGATGTTTTAAGGAAATATCAGAAAACCTTATATTCTTATATTGGTTGTATTTGAATGAGTTGGTATAGGATAACAATATAACATGATACTCTTCGTCGTAGAAAAAACTTAAGCTAAATAAGAATTGAACATAGCATGGTACAATGAATTTGAAGAGTTTATGTTGGATTTTTTTTTTTACGAATGAAGTCGTATGTTTGTGTCTAGTTTAGGTTTTTATTTTCTTTTCTAGGCTATGTATATCCCTGATTAATGCAGAAATCGCGTCTAATTTTATTTCTTATGAAATTCTTTCTATTGTCTTCAAAAAATTGTAACCATTCAGCTTTATAAAATCTCTCAGCTTTTACCAATAATTGTCAAGTGTTCACAATAACTATTCACTGTCACTGTGCGTGCGTGTCTGAAAATCTGCATATGCGCGCGTGTGCGGTCAGGAACGGCGTCGTCGTCGCAGAACCAGATGTCCAGATTACACGGAGCCACTACAGTCTTAATCTTGATGCTGCTGCTGCTTTGATCACTGTTAAACTACTTCTCGCTTGTACTGGTTCGACCATAGTGGATCGTTTGGCCGCGTGTTGTTGGAAGTTTTGAACCGTTTGGGTGATTGGGGCGATCCCTTTTGTCACCTCTTCTCGATCGACGCTTGCCACAGTGAAAATTCGGTGATGAAATTCAGAGTTTGTTTTTTAGGGGGGAAATCAGTTCAGATTTTCACCACAGCCATCTGGTGATTGAATTTTACTACGAGCACTGTACCACACATTTTACTGGCCTTCTTTATAACATAATTTTCAAAAAGAAAAAAAAGACAGAGAGATGAAACGAAATAATCTGTAAAAAAACCCGTAAATTTAAAAGTACGTAAAAAAACTGAAAAACCGCTCGATTTTTGTGAAATTGACAGTGGTCTTTCTGAAAAAAGGTAGGTTTTAATTTGTTTTTTTACGGAGTTGACTGAATTTCTTTGGTTTTATCAGTTGCGCCTGTTTTTTCTTTTAGCAAACTGGCTAGATGTGTTTTTTTACTTGCAAAACACGAAGGTAAACTCATGGCCTCTCACGAAGGTAAACTCATGGCCTCTCATTCTTCTTTTTTTTTGCGGGTAAGGGAGATTTATTACTCAACTATCAAGTCCACACAAACGAGGTGCGCAATGAAGTGCGCAATGAAGTTACAAGAATCATCAGGCTAGAAGGCCGTAAGAGCCTCCCACCGACCTCTAGTAGCTAAGTCATGGCCTCTCATTCTTGAAACCGTTTGTCAACCGAATGTACACACTGGCTGTTTGGTCACGATAACTACTCGATATCTAAAACCGTTAAAATTCAAACAGCTCTGACTCGAAATCAATTTGATAATTGCTCTGTAACCGATAAAAAAGGATAAAATTTGTTTTGGGACTAACTGTAGTTATATCATCATTTTTTTAATAAGGAAAAAGAATAAAAATAGTAAACTTTTTTACATTATAAATTACATAGACTATAACACACTAATTAATTTATCAAGCCAGGAGCGGTTACATTCAGTTCATGGTAAGACATCCATCGTCAAATATAACAACGCAGTAACGAATACTCCCCTCATTTTATGCTATACTAGTCGTTTAATTTTTTCTAGTCAAATTTCTTTAAATTTGATTAAATTTATAGAAAAATATAGTAGTATTTTTAATATAAAACAAATATTTTACTAAAATATATTGAAGGTTAGATTTAGTGAAACTAATTTGATATTTTAGATATTATTACTCCCTCCGTTTCAGGTTATATATAGATGTTAATGAATCTAGACACATATATATGTCTAGATTCATTAACATACATATGAATATGAGTAATGTTAGAAAATCTTGTAATATGAAACGGATGTAGTACTAACTTTTTTATACACTAGAAAGGAAGCCCGCGCAGATACGCGGGCACCTTATTTATTATGTATAGAAATAATGTTAAATAGAATTAAGTCATATCTCACTATATGCATATAATAAATATAATAAATTATAGATTTCACCTTATAATAAAAAAAAATCTTTGTCGTGAAATTGACCGTAGACTTTAATAAATGATAACAATGTTTCTTATATTCAAACAAAAAACACTTTTGTCTAGATTACACGTAAACTCGCCTATTGTCACTATTACTAATTATCATTTTTGCTTGATGCCTTTTTAATAAACAGAACTACATTTGTATCACCAAAGTAAGCGTATTACATCATTAATACATAAAACATCAATCTCCACTACATACCTAAATGTTTACGTTAACTCTTATTTCTAAATCTATAAATAAATATTCTAAAAATACTGTTTCTATTGGTTAAAGGGATAACACTGTTAAAAATTAGACATGAATATACCCTCTAATGGGTAGAGCTACCGAGAATTTATTTCTCTATTGCCTTCAAACATGGGTTTCGTAGCGACGTACTTGTGCCAATCAAAGCTAGTGTGGAGCATAATTCTAAGTCCTATTTCACTATCGGCATCCTCAAAGCTTATTGCATTAGTATGTAGGAAGTTGAGTACTATTGTCAATGGTGGACTCCATTGGGTCTGTCTCAACTCAATCATATGTATGTCCCTCCTATAGTTGTGTTAACTGGCTAACTGCTCGATGCCCTTCATGAAAGAAAGAGAAGATAGATGTGAAGAAAATAATTCTTTCCATAAAAATATTTTTTTTACGTTTTGAGTAGAGACAATTTGTTTGTATTGTTAATCAGTGCTGCTTAAGTTTTTATGGCATAGAGAAAATATTCTCTTTTGAAATGAGTGAGGTTGATTATTAAGAAATGTATCGCTAAATATACATACGACCGTGACAATCTTTTAAGGAAGCCCGCGCGGTTGCGCGGGCATCTTATTTATTGTTCTATGAAATAGTGCTAAAAGAAGCCATATCTCACATTTCTACGTCGTGAGATAGATCATAGACTTTAGTATACTTCAATGATAATAATTTCTCTCAGATTAAAAAAAAACACTTTGTCCCGATTACATATAAATTCTTCTATTAACGTAACAACTCATTATCACTATATATTTTAAAAGCTGACTACCTATTAATAGATGAAATTGCATAAATACAGATAAAATAAGCCTAATATATCATTAATACACTACTTAGCTAAGTGTTCATGTCTCAGATATATATATTTTAGCGTCTAGTTTATTTTCGTCACATATTATTCATAACAGGTCCATCAATTTAAATGAAAATCGATGGCGAGATTACACAGTGTCACATGATGGTCTAAGAGTGCTTGTAGAAGCATCACGTAACCATATTTGTGAAGTAATAAATTTTATTTTTTATATAGAAAATCCTATTTAAAAAGATAGTCTGTTTTTCGATGATGGTTCTGATATTTACATATAATTTTCTTTAGGGTTTTATAGCTTTTTTAACGTACATCTTTTTTTTCAAATGAACGGTAGGTAAAGGTATTTTTTCCATCGCTAAACGGTACGTACGTCCTTTGTTTTGTTTTTCAAATGAATATAGTACGTAAAGGTATATTTTTTTCGGCCCATAGTACGTTTTCCTGGTATGCTGACTTTTTTTTAGGTAAGTGTAAACGGATTATGTATACACATGAAGTATTAACCTTTTTTTAATAGATCTAATCTAACGGTTTAAAATAATGGGTCCACCAATTTAAATGAAAATCAACGGTGAGATTATAGCATGCCACGTGGCAACCTAAGAGTGCTTGTAGGAGCGCCACATGGCGGCTTAGGAGTGTTTATAGGAAGATTAATGGACTTTTAGTATATAATAGATAGATAGATTTAATAAAAAAAAGTTGGACTAGTTAAAAAATCAAATGAAGTGAGTATAAAGTAGTACCGTAGTAGACCTGTGCCGTCGGCGTCGTCGTCTCCAACGCAACCACGCGCCGTTGGCTTCGCCGCCTATATATACATACTCACACACCGGCGACCACCACTCCACTCTCCACCCACCCAACCAATCAACCAACCAAAGCAGCAGCATTCGTGGTGGTGGTGGCCGCCTCTACTCGCACGCTCGCTCCTCCTCTCCTCTCCTCTCCTCCCAAAGTTGAATTGCATCTTTCTCTTTCGCTTTGCCGTGTCAACGCGAACAAAAAGAGCCACGCCTCCCTCCATTTCCTCCCTCACGAACCTTCCCTCCATCTCCCCCTCCGCCTCCTATAAAGCCCGCCACCTCGGTGTGCTTTGGGTGTTCGTCCGTGTTCTTGCCTTTCTTGGAGCTTGCCAGGCATGGCTGCTGCGGTAGTGGCGAGGTGTGGTGGTGCCAAGAAGCGGAAGGGCGAGGGGCTCGGGGAGATGCACGACGACGTGCTCGAGCGCGTCCTGGCGAGGCTCCCGCCGGCGAGCTACTTCCGGCTCAGGGGGGTGTGCCGGCGGTGGAGCGACGCCGCGTCGTCGCCCACGTTCCTCGCCGCGTGCGGCCGCGTCCCCGCGCGCGACCCGTGGTTCCTCATGCTGTCGGAGGGGGAGGGGCAGGAGCGGCGTCTTCCGGCCGTCGCGTTCGACGCCGGCGAGGGGGAATGGGCGCGGTGCGGGGGCGCGCCGGGGCACGTGATGCCGGTGGTGGCCGCGTCGGGGGGTCGAGTGCTGTACCGCGCGCCGGACACCGGGGAGCTCACCGTGGCCAACCCGCTCACCGGCGCGTCCCGCGTGCTGCCTGCGCCGCCGCCCGGCGCCGCGCTCCACGCCGTTGCCATGTACGGCTCCTCCCCCTACCGCGTCGTCCTCATCACGGGCGACCTCCCGGACCTCTCCATGACGGTGTTCGACTCGTCCAAGAACGCGTGGGACGACGCGGTGGCGCTGTCCCGGAAGCCGGATGCCTCGTCGCCCGAGCGCGACGCGGAGGGCGGCGTCGGCGGCGGCGGCGGCGGCGGCGACGACGAGACGGTCTACTTCCTGAGCAAGTCCGGCGACGTGATGGCGACCAACATGCAGCGGAGCGCGTCGAGGCAGTACTCGTCCGCCGTCACGTGCGGCGACGGCGGCGAGGCCGTGGCCTACTTCCTGAGCAACTCCGGCGCGGTGGTGGCCTGCGAACTGTCGCGCCGCGCCTTCGCCGAGCTCCCCCGGATCCTGCCCGTGTACTTCGAGTACTCCATCGACGTCGTGGCGTGCGGCGGCCGCGCCTACGTGGTGGTCCTCTCGGAGCTCCTCGGCACGGCCAGCCTGCGCCTGTGGGAGTTCGCCGGCGGCGCGTGGCGGCAGGTGGCCGCGATGCCGCCGGCCATGTCGCACGCGTTCCACGGCAAGAAGGCCGACGTCAACTGCGTCGGGCACGGCGACCGCGTCATGGTCTGCGTCAGCTCCGGCGAGGCCAACGGCTGCTTCATGTGCGACGTGCCGACCAACCGCTGGGAGGAGCTCCCGCCGTGCGCCGGCGCCGGCGGCGAGCCCATGGACTTCGTGGCCGCCTTCTCGTTCGAGCCAAGAATGGAGGTCACCGTCTAAGCACCATTGATGTGTACTTGTAGTATCTTAGTATGCAGTGAGATCGATTGATTTCAGCTTGTGTAGTTGTGTGTGCATGATTTTGTTGGGTGATTTGAGGATTATTTTCATGGGAATCAAAGCCACCCGTCTGTCTCATCAGTGTGTTCGTGTTGCTGTTGTTAGCCAGGAGAGCTTCACACTGTATCTTCTGTTCTTTCTTGATTCTTGTGCCAAACCTCACCTCAGTGCAGCAACTATCCCTATCTCTCACACTGCCACATTGTTCTTCTTTCCCTAACTAGAGCTCTTGCCATTTGCAAATACTCTTCACATTTGCAAAGTTGCAATGTGCATTACTGATGCAGAATTCAGTTGTCACCATGAATCATTTCTTGAATTGTTGCAAGGATGAAACTGGTGATGCTGCTTTTTTTTTCTTCTTTTCTTTGAGGCATAGTAGCACATAGTAGTACAGACACACACGCATTGACACATGCATGCAAACAGCGAAAGCGAGAGGGGGGCGCCTTTGGCTTTGGAAGAAGGTGTGGTTTCCACTGACGCAGAGGCTCGCCGGCCGGGGGACACAGCACGGCAATGCCGGCAGCCAAAGTCGTGGGCAGAATCCTTGTGGGGATATCACCGTCTCGTCCTCTGCTCATTCTGAAGACAACCCTACTGTATCAGTAATTCAGCAGTAGGAGCAATTCAGTATGGCTAGGTTTGTTCATGGTTTGTCACTGAATATTTGCAATGCGTTATTGTTGTTAGAATCTATGGATAATGTGGTGACAGTTGGATCTGGTACTGTAATATGAAACTGCTCTGAATTAGGGCCAGGTAGTAGTTAGGGTTTCATTGAGTGGCGTTTGGCTTTCAGGTTTATGTTTTTTTTTTAATCCCCCTTAGCGGAAGTTCAGGTTGTGAAATGGACTGTCAAATGATGTCTGCTCATGCATTGCCACTGAAGAAATCATATGAATTATTGTTAGAATCTAGTACAAATAATGGGGGAGAGTCGGGAGACGATTGGATCTGATACTGTAATCTAAAATTATATATTAGGGCCAAGTGGTTTTTCTTTTTCATTACATGGTAGATTCATATGTGTGCTCTGTTACACACTCACACGACTATGAATGCGTGACCTAACATATGCTCAAAGAGAGTAAGAGGGCCAATAATTAGTTAAGCTTGAGTAGTCTTGAAATTTATCAAAAGAAACTCTTAAAATTTATGTTTCTCTTTTCTTTTGTGAAAGTTTCAGGTGTGTAAAATGGACTTTCCGACCTTAAAACATTCATTCATAGTTGGTGCATTTTGAAGAGAGTGTAAATAGGAAAATCGCATCCACAATCACCATCAATTCAGAGTGAATTGCATTGCCTTTGTGTTAGGTCAGTGCAAGCAGAATGTTTTTGTGTGAACTGTGTGCAAGCGTGCGTGCAGATGCTGCTTGCTTTGTGCTGTGTCTAGTGTTTTTTTGGCTGCCGTTTGCTTTGAGCTGTGGATGCGGTGGCTTTAGCAGCAAGTGCAAACAAAGCTCTCTCCCAAAGCGTGCTTACAGCTTTAGCAGTACTAGTTAACAGCCTCCTACACAGAGGCTTTTCCATGTGCTCACTTTAACCTAACATTACTCACTGCGTTAATCAACGCTGTGCAGTGTCCAGGAAACAATTACAGTGACCTGACAGTCACTCTACACTAGCCTAACATCAACAGCTGCATTTTGAGTTGAGAATTCAGAAATGTTCCATTCATATTTCATACACCTGCAGTTCAGCTTGCCTGAATTCAGTAAAGATTATGTGAATTCAAGCCCACTTTACAGTTTACATCATGTTTGTTTTTTTAGAGAGAATTTTTACATGGTTTTCTGAACTTGTTGTGGTAGGCAAGATTTCGCTTTCTTGGTGAAAATGTAGGGGACCGGGAATCATGAACTGGGGGAGAATGATGGAATGGTTGACAATGTGTAGAGGAAATTCTTTACTATCATGACGGTTTTATCTTGCAACCACCGATCCAGGGACAACGCAGCATCACAAAAAGAGCAGCATGCCGTTGCCTTTTTAGATTGGCACTAAAATGGTCTACTGTGGAGATGCAAAACATGCAATCAGAGCTTGGTAGATTGCAGTCTTGACCCACTGTAAAAACACCCTTTTTCAGTAATTTTTAAGGATGTTAGTACAGTTTTTGATGATCAGACAAGGACATACAATGTGAGGGATTAAGTAGGAAGCATCAGTGTTGTAGTGGTAGAGTCATGGGTGCTTAACTTTATCCGCCAGGGTTTAAATCCTGGTATCTATGAATATTACACACCCGCAAGTGGATTTTCAAGAGAAGATTAGGATGTGCCATTAATTTTCGTCTCTTTGAAAGTATGTCGGAGGTGCATGATGTATGAGTGTGGTATTGCAAAAAAAATGCGAGTGATTAAATGAGCTACTATGGTGATTAATTTCCAAGGAATTGTAGAAATCAGGTGAGTTTTACTGAAGAAGAAACAGGCAGGGCATCTGAATCTACTACTGGTTGGTAGCATGCTTCATGGTAGCATTGAGGCAAGGGCAGGCAAAGCTGGTCCAGGCTGGTTGAGAGCCACTTTTGGGCCCATTGGTTTTAGGTGGACCACCTCTCTGCACAGGCCGGCACTTGAGCCCCAAGGAGGTTGTTGGTCTACTGTTAAAAACAAAAGAGAGAAAAAAAAATAAAGAAGCTCTAATTTCATGGCTCCTTTCCGCAGCTCAACGTGCATTTGAAAAGTTTTTTAAAGTTCCATCAATAAAAAGCCTTAATTTTGGACAAACTTTGCCATAAGTGTGTTTTCTTTCCAAAGAAAGCTGGGTTGTGAGTGAGTGTATGACTAGCTGAGAGTATGATAAGTTGTGATAACAGTTGTTCTCAATTGCAAGTTGAAAACTTGCTGCAACCTCTGTATTTTGTTTGGCATAGAATGTAGGCATATATACTGTACTAGACTGACATTCCTGCTGATCAAACTTCTCTTTTATCAGTCGTTGATTCAGTTTCAGAACATAGGGGGGTATCTGGCAGTAGGTGCAGTGTGTCTTTACATGTAGCATCGTCAAAGGAGCAGAAGAAAACTGAACATCTGGACAGTAAGATTCCCCCCCGTAGCATTAGCCAAAATTTCAGGGATGTGCTGGCTGGGGGCATTTCACTAGGCCTCAAAGTTCGAGTAATTTGTTACATCTCTCAGACAGTCAATCCTAAGACACTTCTCACATGGCAAACAGAATCAAAGGTTTTTAACTTCTTTTTGCAAGTAAGCAATTCTCCAGGATTTTGCAGGTTTTCATTCGACCTAACAAGAGCTGAGGAGGAGTTACACTGACCAATCCAGGGTGGTGCGAATGGATGGTCTTATTATTTTGATTTGAAGTTGATGGCATTGCCTTTGACAGAAGGCAGAAAAGCCAAGTTTTAGAAGTACATCCAATGCCAGCAATTTTTCAGTTTACGAGATTCTTAATCCCGGAATTCATCCATGAACTTCTCGTGGAACTCCTTGAACTTGGATATGATCGCTGGTATTTTGTCCTCCTGTGGCAAAATTGTGCATCTAAAATGCCACGTTCCAGGAACCTGAATTCACATCACAAGATAAGTCAACAGAATAATATCAGTAAGAACTCAACAGTGTTTTGAACCAACAAGAGCCTAATTGTTTTCGGAAATGCCATGCATTTGAGATAAACCTACCTGCCCAAATCCAGAACCAGGAACAACAACAATTCCAGTAGCTTCAAGAAGGCGGCGGGCATAATACGCATCTGGGGCAGTACCAGCTGCTTGGGCAGCTCCAATTGCCTTCTGGGGCAAATAGATGCGAGGGAAGAGATACATCGCACCCTCGGCCTTGTTGCATGTTATGCCTTCTAAGCTGTTGAAGGCTTCTTCCAAAGCCTGTGTAAAATGGAGAGGACCAAACAATGAGAAGGTGCTTGATACTTCAAACAGTAGCTTAGATTAGAAGAAAGTTATTTCCACAAGCTATGTTTGTGTATCTGAGTGTTACTTTATTAGCACTAAACGCCAGTAACAGTATTCTGGATTTTTTTTCCATGTTTTGGCATAATACACAGGTGAAGCAGCAGCAGTTCTAAATTCACAGTTCCAGCAGTGAATATTGTTTACCACCATTACAACAAGTGAGACAAACCTTTGCACGTCGAGCCAGAGAGGAGAGGATCCCGTCTTTCTCTACCATGAAGGATTCATAGGATTCATCCCCAGCCTGTGGAAGAAGCAACCTTGTAAATTACTGCCATAATTTAACTTAATAATTGCTTTGCGAACAAGCTATCAGACCTTCGGTGGGTTCATTATGAGGCTAGCGAGTATTTGGCCAGACACGTTGGAACACAGGTTTACTGATGCCACCTTGTAAATTTGTTCCCTTACATCAGCGCTAAATCCAGTTACTTCCATATAGCCTCCTCGTTTTCCACATTCTCCGTAGTAACCTAATTGTATAAACAGTAAGATTTACCATATGCTTGGAGATGCAAATACAAATAACTGAAGAATATAATTACCTTTCGAAACTGATTGGAATGATACTAAAGGAAGATCATCATCTGTGTATCCCATTGATCGTGCGATCTTTTTGAAAGAATGGAATTTCTTGTCTTCTACATATATGTTTTCTTGGTACACCTTTCAAGGAATGAATCAACAAGTGAGCTTACAAGACCTACCCAACTCACAGGAAGTGTTCAAATAGCTCATCAAAACTCAAATGTTTCAAGCTCTCGCATACAAAAAGTGCTGAACTCACCTCATCTGCAAGAAGAACAAGTCCTTCATTTTTGCAGAATTCGACAATTTTCTTTTGATTTTCCTCAGCAAGAACCTGATGAAAGTAGAAACGGGATAAGTAACCACTCCAAGACCATGATTCTTGATGGTAAAAAGGAAGTGAAGGTTTCTTCTAAAGTATCTATTCACCATGTTCCAATAGACAGAATTGATATCTTATGAAGTAGATTTTTTTATGCAAGGTATTGGCCTTCTGTAAATGTATGATAAGTTAATAAATCATAACCACCTGCCCAGTTGGGTTCCCTGGATTTATAACAACAAGTGCTCTAACAGTGATACCCTTAGACTGAGCCTCCTCCAATTGTTTCTTAAGCTCATCAACCTCCAGTCCCCAACCTGTCTCTTCATCAAGGAAATAAGGAACCTGAAATTGGATATGTTCTGTATATTAAGTCATCAGACATGGGCATGCATCGCTGCAAGTTTGAAGGATTCCTAATAATATAATGCCAAAACCACATTATGTACAAAGCAAAACCAATGGGTGATTATCACTTCATTGTAAATTTAAATTGAGTTGAACCCAAAATTCGACAAAGGATATAATTCAAAGCATTGCCTGGATTTGTTGCTCTAAACAAGAAAAACATAATTGTATAGCGTTATAAGCATTGTCATAGTACATACAAGAGAACCACCATGGAGAGCAATTGACGCGGAGTAGAGCGGGTATTGCGGAATAGGGCAGAGAATGCCATCATTCTCAGATCTTATCAATAATTGCATCATCATGTGCACCTAGGTGAACAAGAAATTACACTGGTTCAGTGAAGGCACATTATGTAGAGATGGGAAATTAAGGGTAACTGGCAAAAAGAGTATCCTAATTGATCATAAATTATTAATTAATGGTAATCAGTTAATGTTGATTATAGATTATCTTTTCAACATACTGCTGGGCTTGCTCCATCTGTTAGGAATATGTTATCTCCACTAGCATGAAAACCATCACGGGCAGCAATTCCAGCAGCAATTTCATCACGCAAACCCTTTATACCCTGAAATAGAGGACCACATGAATGACGAAGCTCATGAAACTATGACAGATTTCATCAAACAGTAAATGAGTACCTGACTATGGCTATAGGCTCCTGTTGCTCTTCCTGGGATCTTGTCTAGAATTTGCCATGCTCTTTCTATAGCATCTGAACTGTATGCAAACATAAATCAGTATACTAAAATTTGAAAAAAAAATTGAGTAGAGTAGCCAGCATACTACTTATTCGCAAATGCTCCACAGGTTGTTTATTAGAATTAGATAGGCGCATAAGTTATTAGCATGCAACAATTGTCAAACAATTTACAGTAATTACTTTCCATTGATTAAAAAATACAAAACGATCAAGTTAATGCAGGCACAACAGATCATAAGAATCTTAATAGCTACCCTAACAGACTAGAGATTGAGTTCTCATTTCTCACCCCTCAATGTATGCATTACAATAAAGTTTGACACTAATACGCTTGTAGTCATCTAAGATTAAACAGTTTGATATACCTGTACAGAGCATGAGTTTCACTTTTATCCAGCAGAGCTGGATGATCACATAACGACAAGACCTGGAAAAAGCAACACGGGCTAGTAAGAAGCCTTGGAACTTGCAGTCATTCAGCCAAATTAGAAACCAAGGAATATAAACTCACCTCTCTGAAAAATGTAACTGGCTGCTGGCCAAGAGATTGGGGATTTCCAATGTTGCAATAAAGTATCTGACATTAAATATATGGGTGCAGGTAAATATATTGATATTTGATAATTGATTATTAGATTTTATTTATTTATTTTACCATAGAGAATACTTCATGTGATCAAAATACAAACCTCGTCAAAAGGAAGTGAGTCTGGGTTTTTCTGTAATTCTTGTTGTAAATTCTGCAGAATAAAATGTAGGTCATAATCCAAGTTCCTAAGGAAGTCCTAAAACTAAAGAGATAGACAATAAGAACTACTAATAACAGATTTTGCACTTTGCAGATTTCAGTAAAGTAATAGAACACTAGCGAAAGAACCGATCACTGTAGGAGTACAGTTTGACTGCTACAATCAGGACAAATGATATGATGAAAAATATTCAGGACAATAAACTATATCAGACAAACTGAATGTTCAAGATCATATTGGACCAGCCACAGTCCATCCCATTGAAACATTAGAGCATTAGTAATCACATAGCATCAGCCACCACATTGGATAATTAGATCCCTATTTCTCCCATCATGAACCAAGAAAGAATGGTGTCGACCAATCGGCAATATGACTTCTGCAAAGAAGCTCTCAGCTATGCCACTAAAACCCCTACCGAATCTCTGCATTTCCTGCTTATGCAATATGAGTTGATGTACATGAGACAGATTCCACGCACCTGAGCATGTGTAACAATCTCTCCACGGACAGCATATTCACACTTCAACACCTGAAGCAACAGAACAAACCAGATTAGATAGGACGATGCATTGTGAACCTTCAAGCACAAGTTCCAGCTATCTAGCATCCCATTGCTGCTGAGAAGTACACATCTCACTTTTACCATCCTTCAGCAAATCGCAAGCTGAAAACACGCTCACACGACAAGCCAAACAAGCTGAAGGAACCGAATCGAAGAAGGGGGAGGGGAGGGGTGGGGGGGATGGATCGTCACCTTGGGGTTGATGGTGTCGAGTGACACCGGCGCCGCGCCGGCAGCCGCGGTCGACATGGCCCTCACCATGGCGGAAGCCATGGCCAGCGCCGCCGCCGCGGCCGGCGGCGGGGATGGCGCCGAGGGGGCAGCCCCGGCAGACGGCGCGGCTGATCTGGTGGCGGCCGCGCGCATCGAAGCGGCGGAGGAGGTCACCGCGCGCCGCGCCCGGTCGGCGACGAAGCGGCGCATGGTGGGAAACGCGGCGGCGGCGGCGAGGGGGAGAGATCGCGACCGGGGGGGAGCACGAGGCGGAGGCGTGATTTGCTGTTTTTTTTTTGGGATTATTATTTATCTAAGCGGGTTTTGCGTCCCCTGCAAGAAAGAAAAAAGAAAGACACGAACACGAAATTACTTGACCAAAAAGACAAGGCGGTTAAATTTGTTTTTATGTCGTTTTAGTTTACATTTTATTTGTAGTAATTTGAAATTTGATTTAAATTCAAATTCAAACTTCGCAGCAGCAAAAAGATAGTACGTGAATTTCGATAACGCATATGAAACCGTGCCTTTTCCCTTTGCATATATGCGCACTTTACGCCTCACCGTACAGTGACCTATAACTATAAGGCTACAAGAATCGGGGTTGTTTGGTTCATGACCACATGTTGCCACACTTTGCCACACCTCAAGTTAGGCAGCTTTGACTAAGTTAGCCAGGCGTTTGGTCCATTGCTACACTTATGGCAAGATTCTTTTTATAGCACTTTGGTCCCACATGTCATTGTCTCAGAGAAGTGTGGTAATGTTATAGATTGCTAGCCAAAGTGTGGTACTAAATTTGTTCGTCTAACCTTAGACAAGCTTGGCAAGAAAACTATGACAACCCTAAACAATGTAAGTATATGAACCAAACAGCCCCGAAATTTCTTAATTCGACTTCACTATTAGTCACCACATGGTCCACATACCATTAAGAAATTTTGGCTTAGCCCAAATCCTTCCTAGTAGTGGCCTATATTTTTTTAAAAAAAAGAAAAACGATTCGGTTTGGCAAACAACACTACAACAGGTAAAATCTCAACTAAAACCTGAAAAAAAAAGACTTTTTCAATATCTACAGTTCTGTCAATAAAAATTACTCTTTATTTTGGTTTTTCATGCACTTTGTTTTCTTCCGTTTCGACCAGGCCGGACTCCATCGTCCCCATGGCTTGCGGCCCATATGATGGCCATGATGGGCTGTCGGCCCATCCTAAGTCACATGCTCCCTAGCAAAAAGTACTTACTGGCTGCCCGCCGGCGACGGCTTCCTCCACCGTCCCACGGTGTACGGCCAGTCGGCCACTAATTAAACATCGTTCACATGGTATTACGACGTGTGGCACAAAATCATATGTTTTCTGATCTAAATGTTTCACAAAACCTCACCTTTATTGAAATCTTGATTAACTTCATCGTATCTTAAACATTTTTTTAAAGTAATGAAGATTTAAACTATTCCAAGTCAAGAACTTAATAATTATAAATTTCATATAAACTCTATGGTTTAGAATTTTAAGTAAATTCACGCTCAAATGTATAAGAGCGGGAGTTTGTGAAACTTTAGAATCATAATATATAGTGTTAAGTGTTGCATGTCATAATACATGCGTTTTCTCCAACTTTGAATATAAAATATGAGGTTTTCTAAAATTTACTTAAACTTAAATGTAAAATTATACTCCCTCCGTCTCAGAATATAGCAACTTAGTACTGAATTAGACGCATCTAAGTACTATGAATCTAGACATATCTTCTATCCAGATTCATAGTACTAGATGTGTTCTATCCCATCCGGTTTTAGGTTGCTATGTTGGATGGGACGGAGAGAGTACACATCATCGATTGCCTCTCGCGGCCTCGCCCGCACGGAAGAGGCGCGGCCCGCTGGCTACCTCCGCAAAGGGTACACGTAACGACCACCGCACGCGTCGTTGCTAATCGGTGCGCCACGAGACGAGACGCGACGCGCGTCGTGGCTTGCCGGCGCCCGGCGCTCGTCTCGTCCGTACCGTCGCGCCTCCCTGTCCTCCTCCCGGCGGCGGCCGTGTGCGCGTGGACTTAGCCGCCGCCCGTACTTTAGCCCAAAAAAGAAGAAGAAAGAACACGGCGTGATTCCCAGGCTGACCAAGCACCAGCTAAGCTCACTTTATAAAATTCATTCAACGCAGCAGCCGTCAGCAATCCCCATCTTTCGAGTTCGTGTCATCGTGTGTGTTTCTTCTGCTACAGCCTACTACAGCTCTCTCTGGAATGAGAGGCACCACTTGACACAACACAAACCCTATGTATGTAGTAGTAGTAGCTTGCATCGTTCAGTTACTGCCAACGACAGCCAATCTCTGCGAGCATTACTAAGTCTTCGCTGGATTTGGATAGTGTACTCCACATCATGTTTCTTTTCTTTTTCTTTTCTGGCACCGGTGCACGGCATTCTTCTAGTTGGCGCATCTCGGTGTGTCCATACCAAATTAGCAGGTATTTTTTTTATGTCATCTAGACGCAAAAAAAAAGCTATATATTATATAAAAAATTATTCATTTACATTATCCTTCATACACTACCAACATGACTTACTTTTTTTCAAAAAGTGCAAAAGGATTACACGCTAATATATTAAAAGAATAGATGATTTGTTACACAACACAATCGGCTAGACATGTCTATGCCGAGGGGGAGAAAACCACTCTAACGACCAACCGCGAAAAGGAAAAAAAAAGAAAGACTACTGCGAAAAGAAAAAAAACTACTTCAATAAAGAAGACAGTACTTAATTGCACATGTCCAATGCCTACTGAAAATTCACAAATTTCGAACATATGCAAGAAAATGTCATACGTTCGTAGACAAGCCTTGAATCGAAGTATCGAACCATGCGATGTTCAAATTATAAATTTGGGCTTAGAATAATTTATAGGTTTCATCTCGATCTCTATTTTTTTTGCGGGGTCATCTCGATCTCTATAATCAAACAACTAAACCAAAATAAAATAAAATAAAATGGGAGAGGAGGATACCTTGCTTTTGTCAACTTCTCCAATAAAACAGGACGAAAAAAAATTCCAAATCGCTTGAATTTGAAATATAGAAGGTGGAAGAGGAGAAGGGGACTAATCTCTCCTCTCTCTTTTTGAATGCAAAGAGAATACTATATTCCTATGCACACAAGCTTCCCGTGCACACTAACTAGCAAATATCACGAAAAAATTTTAAAAAAATATGACATATACTCTTAATAGTATTACACATATTTACAAAGTCTTATATTCAAATCCATTATATTTTAGCCGTAACAAAAGACAGTTTTAAGAGTAAAAAACTGTCAGAATTTTGTCTTTTTTTTGTTATAGCTAAAATATAATGAATTTGAACATGAAATTATATAGATAGGTGTAACACTATTGAAAGTATGGCTTTAATTTTTTCTAGAATTTTCTATAATATTTGTTAGTTAGTGTGTATGGAGTGTGCACGAGAAGCTTGGGTTTCGTGCGCAGGAGAGAGAGAGTGTGTGTGGAATCCCTTGAGTGTTATTGGCTAGAAGTTCGGTAACAATGCCAAGCCTTGGTGTCAGGGTCTTGACGCTAACCCCTTGTTACATCAGTCTCTAGCATGACTCGACTGTCGTCAGTACTGTGATTTAGCATCAGGCCAGGTCTATAGTATCGACAAATTTAACCTCGCTGCCAATTAACTTGGCTCAGAGTTAGGTATTTGTTTTCGTAATACGTTCTGTAGAGGTATATTTGTAAAATAAGTTTGACAAAAGAACTACGGCCGAGTTTAGTTCCAAATTTTTTCGTTAAACTTTCAACTTTTTCGTTACATCAAAACTTTCCTACACACACAAACTTCTAACTTTTCTATTACATCGTTTCAATTTCAACCAAACTTCCAATTTTAACGTGAACTAAACACACCGTACCACTCTTACATCGTCAGTTACTGTTAATACCAAGGAGGCAACGACGACAGCTTTGACGTTGGATCGAGCAGTTAGGCAATAATACTCCAATCTCTGCGAGGATTACGTCCTCGTTGGACAGAGTACACAAGCAATAATTTTATGAACTTGTTCACGCCATTCTACATTTCTGCTACTAGCTGCTCATCTCGGTTTGTGTCGATTATAGTCCATACCCAACGGAGCAGGTACTTGATGTCCTGTTGATGCAAAAATAATAGGATTAGCATATGATACTGCTAGTCTGCTACTAGTAGCACTTATCATGTAAGATGATGTCATGCCAAGCAAAGACTAATCGACCAAACAGGCTTTGTGACTTTGACCCATCATTGGCGTTATTAGCTGCTTTAATTATTGCCTAATATCCCAGAAAACAAAAAAGGCTGCGGTCTTGGGACGGACTTCCTCGCTGGAATTCAGCCTTGTGCTGCCCATTTCAGGAATTCAGAGGCGGCTGCTGTGCTGCAGCATTTTATCTCCTTGTTTATCTGCACATGCCTGCAACTTTGCCTCATGCTTGATTAATTTCAGGGTAAACTAAACACAAGGAAATCAATCGAGGACAACCTCTGTCGAAGCTAGCATGTGTACAGGGTATGCGTACCTAAAGATTCACTTGGAAGTTCTGAACATTTCCAACGAATGCGTACTATAAGAATCTCAAGTACAAGTAACTACTTTTTTTTAATTTTTTTTAGAAGGATATTTTTTACCCGGCCTTTATATCCAACCGGATATATGAGACTATTTGGCACAGCTCTAACTCCTAAATTAGAAACTTAGTCTATCAAATAGGGAACTTAACTCTTAAATAACCCAATCTAAAATTCACTCGTATGAAAATTTAAACTTAGAACCTTGGGTGTTACTCAGATCACTACAACCACTAGGTTACATGCTCTTTCATTATTGGTTCAGCTTTGGTTCCTCATGGTGGCAGTAGTATTATTATTATCTCCATGCAATTTTCCAAGGATTAATTGAAGCCAATTTCTCATGTTTCAAGTATAGTTGCTTTCTGATTTTTTTTAATCATATCCTTCTGAAACGTACCGTAGCCGATGTCAGTTTCAAACCCCATATCGCGAGGATCATTCTTTCTGTGTCAGGATGCGACTGAAATTGGAACTGCATAGCATATATGTATGGTCCATATATATGTTTGCAGGAGCATTACTAGCCGCCGAAGAAATATGTTTTCTTTGAAATGGAGGGATTAATAAGAAGCCTGAAAAATTAAAATCCAAACAGCTTCCTATTATTTCACAATCATTATTTCTTCAGGCTTACTTGTGTCCACATTAATAATTGAGATACTTAAGCTCCAGCCTCCAGCGTGTAAGCAAGTCTAACCTTCTGAAAGTGACCAGTTTGGATAAGGATTATCGCAATTCTTAGCCTCTTCGAGATATATTGAACAAACATGTTCAGAATCTCAACTTAATTTTGCCTGTTGCCACATCTTTAGAATCGTCTTTAGTTTAGAGGGCAACCTCTGATTATGAAATATCTAGAAAGCTCTCCCTTTTAATCTTTCTTCAGATTGAACGAAAGCTCTATTGGACAACATGGTTGGTAAAAGAGGTAACATATACCATTTCCATGCAACAACTTAATCTCATATGAATGAGGAAAGAATCTTTTGATTTTGTGAACGCGGAGTAGCTGCAAAAGAGAGAATCAATCGAAAGATGAACAAAGCAAGCAAAAAAGAAATGGGAAAGAACTTTGTGGATGATGTACATGTATTCGAAGAGAAAAAAAAAGTGTATTTTTATCACCGATGCTGATGTGTTTGTCCTTGTGGTCTGAATTCTGACGAAGTGCTATGAGCCTATGAACGCGACGCCTCTGATATCTATCCATTGGTACCAGTACAACGCTGCTGATGAACAAACCGAAATTTTCTTCTCACAAAAAAAATATATTTTCCTGTGGCGTCACACAGCAAATCACTACTACTAGTAATTTGCAAGTGATTAGCTGGACTATCTCCATTCCTCCAGTTCTTTGAAGTCGCTGGCTTTGCTGTTTGCTGCTTGTTTGGCCAACTGCTTTGCAAAACCATGCTTGCTGCTAACTCAACTATCTTACCTCCCAGGTCAACTAATTTCTTTTCAATTCGAAGCAACTGAAAAGCAAAGCAAAGCAAAGCATAAGAAAAGAAACACAATTATTCAGAAAACAAAACCCCCCTGGCTCGATCATACGAGGCTGCACTGGATTTTTCCGGGGTGGTTGTTCAGACTGATTAGTCGCTTCGAACTGAAAAATGCAAAGGAATGTTTAGCGAGTGCATCAGGTGGGACAATGGTGGTTGGTGATGAACTAATGGTACTTTGCACACACATCTTGAGTTGGGGAATAGGATGCACACATGTTGTTCTCAGCTCATGATCCTTTCAAATCTGCAATTTTGGCCTGTACAGTTCAGGTCCCTAGCTTCTTCTGCAGATGCTGCGTTTTTGAGGCAGGGATGTGATGATGTGACAATTTTGACACTGGGGCAACTAGTGGTCAAATGACAGAGAAGAACAAGACAAAATGTTAGGCAAGGTGATTGTACATTTGTACTGGTAGTAGTACTCCTCTACTTACAGTTACAGTTATTACAGGTAGTGTGCAACAGAAGAGACAATAGTAGCAGTAACTGAATAACGGTCGTTGCCCGTTGAATGCGATGGGAGTGACTGAAACAGAAACTACTGATACTCTCATCGTTTAGCCTGAAGCTGAAACGGTTTTTCATTAACTTTAAAAAAATAATTTTTGAATATATGTACCGCTCCGCCCCAAAGAAGTCTAGGATTGGATTTTTATTGAAACAAATAAGAACATAATCTTAGTAATTTAAAAGCTAATGCTGAAATATAAATTACAAAAAAAATCCATAAAATTAATTTTTAAAATTTAAATTTTGGCAGCGGCTTATAAGCCATAGAACAAATGGTAGTGGGAGCCTGAGTTAACTAGCGAGAAATAAAATATATGTGCAGCAGTGCAGGTAAGAACTAAGAACAGCAGAATGTATATCCTCAAAAAAAAAAAGAAAAAAAAGAACAGCAGAATGTATCCAAACTGTAACTTTTTTTTTGCCTTGTCTCTGGGAAGTCCATGTTCTTTCTATCCACATATATGGGACATGTACATTGGGTATCTATAAGAATCTGTACAGTTTTCTTTTTTTTTACCTCTATAAATTCTGAAAATTACAGACGTGGCGAACAGGAGCAACCGGGACAGTAGCAAAACCTGTGATGACGGCACACAAAAGACGGCACAAAAAAAAGTTGGAAAAAAAAAGAAGAAAAAAGAAATGGAAGCTACGTGACGCAGCGTCAAGAGCTTGGATGCGGCGACTTCGCCGGCGAGCTGGTCTCGCCGCCGGCGGCGAGGCCCATCTCGATGTCCCTGTCCGCGTGCTCGTGCTGGTGCGGCGGTGGGGGCGGCGACGCGCCGCCACACCCGAGAAGCCGCCGCAGTCCCCCCCGCACCCTCGCCGCGTCCACTGCCGGCGCCGGCGGCGACGGTGGCGTCGCAGTCGTGGGCGGCGAGCGGTGCTGCTGCTGCGATTGCGCGCCGCCGGTGCTCACCTCGTCCTGGGAGCCGAAGAAGAGGACGTTGGTGGGGAAGTTGGGGGACTCCGGGTCGGCCTCGGGCGGCGCCACCACCGGCGGCGGCGCGGCGGGCGGCGGCTCGTCGACGGCGGGGCAGCGGCAGAGCGGGCAGGTGGAGTGGGACTTGAGCCACATGTCGACGCACGCGACGTGGAACCCGTGGCCGCACCGCGGCAGCACGCGCGCCGTCTCCCCCGCGGCGAGCTCCGTGATGCACACCGCGCAGTCCACCGCCTCCTCCCCTTTCCCCACCACCCTGCACGGCAGCTTCGCCATGGACGCCTCGTCGAGCCCGCCGTCGTAGCACCACGCGGCGTCCCCTGACCCCGCCGCGCCTCCCCCGCCGCCGCCACCTCCAAGCAAGAACCACAGCCTCGCCGCCACCCCGCCCTCCGCCGGCGGCGCGCCGCCCCTGTACCTCTTGGCGCAAACGAATATGTAGAAGCAGAGCACGAACGCCAGGAACACGGCCGCCACCGCCGCCATCATCGTCGTCGCCGCCGCCACCGTCGTCGCCGTCACCGCCATCAATCAAAATCCCTCCCTCCAAATGCAAAACGTTCTTGCTCCAACCTCTCTCCCTGTTGTTGCAAGCTTCTTGGTTGGCGCGAGCGAGGAAGATACGAGATATAAACTAAATTTTAAGTTGGATTAAGGTAAATGGCACGCGTGGTGGCTACTTATACGGAGGCGAATTGGAGAGGATAAGAGGAGGAGGAGGAGGAGGAGGAGGAGGGGTTTGGAGGAGAAGGTGAGCGAACTGTGGAGGGAAAGCTCGGATGGCGACCGGTTTTGAAAATGTTGACGCGAACGAGACCCATTCCGGCCGCTCGCCGGGTTCGTTGGACCTCGCTCCCACGGCCATCTCCGTCGTCTAATCCCCCCCCGGTGATGGGATGACGGAGCCAGAGACCCTTCACGCGTAGGGCTGAATTAACAGGAGTTCAAATATTTTCACAAGTTAAATAGTCCTATCTCCGTTTCACAATATAAGACTTTCTAGCATTGTCCACATACATAAAGGAATATAGACAATGCTAGAAAGTCTTACATCGTGAAACGGAGTAAGTAGTATTTTCAAATTTATAATGAGATTATGGGTATATGGATCAAGGTTCTCTATAGTCGAAGTCACATGATTTTGTCACTATCTCAGTGACATATGGACCCGATAGTCCCTGAACTTACGTATTAGTGATAAAGACACCGTACATTTGGCTGCATAGGGTTTTAATCCGTCAGACATGGGGATCAAGTTCTAACTGCCCCCATGCCTATTTCCGCCCCTGTTCTGACATGCCTCCGCGACTATTGCACCAAAGTTATAAATCATAAGCCGCGGGTTAGGTCGGTAACCCGCTTAGACTAGAACAGTCATCGACAAAACAAGTCAGATTAACGATCAACTCTGATACCATAAAAACGTAGAAATCATAAGTTTTCATATTGCTTCATCCTGTTTTGCCTCCTGGGTTTGTGCGGGGACACAATGCAAGATCAAAGGGAGAGCACATTTGGACGTTCTCAGCTGCCTTTCCAGGAAATGTGGACCGTATGCCGTGAGCGTGTCAAGCATCTCGTCTCTCCTGGACCCCCCAAGCCGATGGATAGCTTGATACTGATTTGATCAAATATCAATCCAATAATGTGTGTGTTTTGCTTCCAATCTGATCGATGGAATTATCTGGTTGCCAAGGCAGGGCAAACCCACGGGCAGCTTAGGTTCAGGTTCAGGTTCAGGTTATCAAAAATTCTGAAAATTCGAGGACCACACATGCAGCTTAGGTTCAGGTTCAGGTTCAGGTTCGGTATAGCGGTTTTTTTGTGCTGTTGTTGTTCAACGGTGTGTGTTCCTCTTTGCTTGCAATACATGTCTCTTTCGAGGCCTTTCGCTTGCAATTTGGATACATGCGTTTTTGGGAGCAATCATGAGTAGCAGTAGTACTTCCTCCGAGTTTATAATACTTATCGTTTTGGACAAGAGCACGGTTTAAAAAAAATAACTTTGACTATTATTTTCTATTATAATATGTAAAAAAGATTATATATTTGTTAACATTTTTTTAAAAAAAAATAAAAATAATTTATAATTAAAGATTCTAACGTTTGACAACACTTTTATTTAAAACGACCCGTATTATCAGTCCGGAGAAAGTATTAGTAGCTGACCAAGTTGGCCAACGGCCTCGACGTTTCCGGGAAGCGACATGGATGGCTGGATTGCAAGTGAGCGTCGTCCTGCCTGCCTTATCTAACTTGATTGAAAAGTCAAGGAAGGTTGATCTACTAACACTAATCCAAACCGATTTGGATGTACTGATTTGATTACAACATGCCAAGACATCACAGGCTTCTAAATGGTTAGTATTAAGCTTCATTTAAAGCTGAAAGCTGAAAAGAAAGTCCATGTAAGACTAAAAACTTTCAAACTTACGAAGAATAGGTCAATAGACCTTAAAATATTTTAGGGGCTATACCCTCAGCAGTCATGAGATGAAGCTAACAACAAATACATATCATATACCAAACAGTACTCCGTCCAACCCAGAATATAATAATTAACTTGAAGTTTGTTTTAAAAATCTTATTCAAAGTTTGAGATACACGGACTTTTTCGTTTAAATGAAGCAGCAGCAGCCAACAGGTAAGTTAGTTGTAACTTCACGTGATCAATCTCAACTTAAAAAAAAAACTAATGTGATGAGTAGCCAGACTAGCCACGCTCACAAGGTAGTTACCTACATGTACTCCATCCATCCCATTTAAAGTGTAGTTAGGGTTTTGTGTCAAACGTTTCACCGATCGCCTTATTTAAAAAATATATATAAAAAAATTTAAAAAATAAGTTATGCATAAAGTATTATTCTTGCTTTATCATCAATCTAATAACAATAAAAATAATAATTATAGAAGAATTTTAAATAATATGAACGGACAAACGTTAAACATAAAAGCTCACAAGTACACTTAAAATGGAACGGAGGGAGACAAACCCTGGTTTCCGTGCCCAACGTTTGACCGTCCGTCTTATTTAAAAAAAATTATGAAAAAAATTAAAAAGACAAGTCACGTATAAAATATTAATCATGTTTTATCATCTAACAACAATGAAAATACGAATTACAAAAAATTTTTATATAAGACGGACAGTCAAAATTGAACACGGAAACCAAGGTTTATCTTTTTTTTTTGGACGGAGGGAGTACTATCCAGTAGCAGTACCCAGTGGACGGCCTACTACTCTACCAGAACCCTCTCTGGCAGTTAACTGACCACAACAACACACCAGTAGCAATGTACGGCGAAACTGCTGTTCGCTCATCATCCATATCCTGCCTGTGTCCTGTACCGGCGTACCACCACGTAGCCAACCCAGCCCAACCCAATCCACACATCCAGATAACGCAGGTACCAAACCCATGCCAAATTGCCAAGTCGGCCATTCCGTGTGTGCATTTGGTCCCGTCCCGTCCTGTCCTGTCCCGATCCGACCGGTCCAAGCCAAAACGTAGTATGTTCGCTGCACCTAGCCTCCAAAATCAGCAGCACACACGCAGCGGCGCGCGTACGGAGAGGAGCCGCCGGCGCGCGGGCGGCGAGCGAGACGGCGACGGCGCGGGGGGGGGGGGGGGCTGGGAAGTTTGTGATGATTTCGTCGCCGATTTGGACCCGGGATATGGGCGAGCCGTCCGGGAGTTGGGTTGGGTTGATGCGGCGAAAGTTGTGGCACGCGCCACGCAGGACATGATGGCATGGAGTCCTCGCTTTTCAAACTACCAGAGTACCGTAAGTATGGTTATCGTGCGGTGACCATGACAAATCGTATAAAATTTATCGAAACTTTAATTTATTTTTAAAATTTATTTAATTTTAAGAAGGTTACCGTGATTTTTCTTTTACTGTAACTCACGATAACCGCGTGATTACCGGCGGTTTGGAAACACCGTGACCTCGCCTCCTCCGTGGATTGCTGCTGCGTTTGACCGACTGACGCCTTCAAAAAAGGTTCAAAGTGGTGGTGCTTTTTTTTTTTGTGATTCCGGACGGTTGGATGTCGTGTTTCTAGACGGCGATAAGAAGATGTCATATGCGACGGCCTTTTGCTTCTTTTTTTTTTTTTCACTTTGTTGGGAAGTTGGAGCCGGGCTCTGAGTTCATTGGCAGCAACAGGATCATATGATGACCTAGAGGCTGCAGTAGCGCACGTTTTGGAATGTAGGATTTGGACGGAAATAAATGGAGCGCGCACGTGTACACTTCGGTACATTCTGCTTACACACGTACACGTACTAGGTGTCAAGCTAGGGTTGCTCGAGTTTGATTCTTAACTTTGGAAACCTATATATGAAATCGATCGATGCAGGCAACTTGGTTACTGTAATTTAATTTCGATTTCAGTTGCAGTGATCATCTCTTTCAATCTTTGCTTTACCTAAACAGCAAGACGGCCACTGTCTTATTATACTTTTAATTACATTTACATATGCTTTTAATCCAACAGGATTACGTGAGTTGGGCAATGGGTTATGGGTGTCCTCACCCTGCAGCGCTTTTGTGCTGCAGACAAGCCGACAAGGCATCCCTTCTACGGGACCAGATTCAAGCACGAACAAGCGCGTCCGGTCGGCCAGCACAAACATTTTTGTTTTGTAATTTGCACTACTAAATATGCTTTGCCCATTTGATCTGACGTTTTCGCCGAGCAATCACGAAGGAGTCCTACTAAGCTAAGCTAGGCCGGCCACTTGGCGACATGCATGTGTTGCACTTGCATACCAGCGAGCTAGTACGGGTTCTTCTTCTCTACCGGCTGATTGGGGGAAAAGAGGGAAGAAAATATAGGATGATGATGTTGTCTGGTAGGCACGTGGATTAGAGCAAGTTTAATAGTATAGCTAACTACTGGCTTCAAATAATATATAGTTTAATTCATACAATAGTTATCTATACATATATACTACATAATTAGTATATGGTCTCACATATTATACACATATGCATCTTGGAGTCTATATCGCAGCTGGCTACATATCTGTAGCCAGCTGCTCTTTTATATCCTATTTTATATTCTTAAAATATGATTATAGCTGGCTTGTAGTCTGCTATTGTACCTGCAGTTAAGGGGGTGATTAAAGTTGATGATCTTTTCATCATGAATGATGGAGGGTAGGAGCATGATTCTCCATTGACAAACGAGACTAAACTACTAAAATCATGATGATGCCATGGTTTCTCAAGCAAAATGCGAGTAAAATCGGCTGCCTTCTTTGGAAGCGTGTGTGGTGTGTTAGTGGAGAGTGACAAATGACTCTATGACGACAACCCATCAAATTGTCAATCAAATTCAGTATAAGTTTGGTTGTTGCAGCTTGGCTGGCACAAAGCACGTTGTAAGATTGTTGCCATGAGGTGAAAGGTGGACTGACGTGCAAACATATTTACAGTCAGAAATGTATAGTTTTTCATTTTACTTCAGCTTTTGTTGTGTACTTAAACTCCTTCTATTAATATAACGCCAAGCAACCTGTTTGGCCGTTCGAAAAAATAAATGACTCTATCCATCAATGTTTAAATTATGGTGCCAATAAATATTATTCCCTTTGTTCTAGATAAAACAAACTAGTATGTGATTAGACTCATCGTAGTACTACGAATCTAAGCATACAGATTTGTAATACTAAGATGTATCTAAGTTGCTTTATTTTAAGACGGAATAGATTTGCAGTACTATGATATATGTCTAATTATGTCCTAGGTTC